CTCGTTGACCTGCGATTGCGCATGCTCTTCGCTGACTCCGCCCCTGCGGTCAGACGCATTTTTATGGCGAAGTGCGACGACGCCAAACAAAATTACTAACACAACGATTTCCTGTTAGTTGTTATTGGATTCTTCGTCGTGTAATATTTTGCACGGTATTGATGCATTCGAGTTGATATGCCGTTGTTGTTTTTTTTTGATTTTCTCGTTAACTATCTATCATGCTTTATGGAAGATTCAGTTTCTCTCGTTTTCATCCTGACGTTCATCTATCTGTTTTAGTAGTTATCAACTGAATATGAAAGGAACACGGAAGAAGAATCCCCCGAATAGTGATCGACGACAGTCACCAAATAATGATTCGAAAAGAAAACCGCAGCAATCACTACAGCAAACCAGTGCGAATCAGGAACAGAATTCAGTCATCGATACACCTCAAGTAGGTTTATTGCTGTTTAGAGGTAATTTCAAAAATTCAGGTGGGATGCACTCAAACATACTCAAATTTTCCGAAGTTATTTCTGTTAATGAATCATAGGTCGTTGTTATTATGTTGTATGTTTTGTGCGTTGTAGAAAATGATTGAAAATTGTTACAAACTTTTACAAATATAAAATAGTGCTGATCGCAAGAGATTCAATAGTCGGCTTTGACGATTATAGCCATTGTACCTGTGTGCTTGTTCTATTAGATTTACACTCTTCACATTAAGACGGTCATTTTTTCTGTGCTAGGAGCAGTTACCCGATCAGCTTTTCTTTGAGTTTCCTGAGGAGTGCCTTTAACGAGTCTGAATGTTGCAAACTTCAGGCATCGGGACAACGCTCCTCTGAAACTGCCCTCCTGTTGATGACCACTCTAACTGATCTATTTAACGTCACAATCGATTGCTTAGCACTGCATTTGATTTTGGCTATGAATAAACTGAACGTAAGTATGCTATACGTGAGTATATGTTTGCAAGTGAAATTTAACGTGACACTTACGTGAATTCGTATCCCGTTCTTGATTGGATTTCCTTGAAGAGAATTGGGCACTGACTGAGCGTTGAGACAAACACTGCACTCTTTTGATTGGAGCTCGCTTGAACTTTGGCTAAGGTTGTGCAAACTTGAGTTAAGATCTTGTCTGAAGCTTATCCAAAATTGGACGCGTATAGTTAGGTGCGGATTAGGCGTTTTAGAAAAGCACTACGTAGAATCAAAACGGGCCTACAGTAACGTAAGTGTAATTTATATTTGCTCCTGCAGAGGATTGGTATGCTCATCTTGGTTTCTATCATTATTTAGCATCTTTCAATTATTCTTATGACTGTAACGTTGAACTCTATCGCCCTTGTTTGAAATGCTTCTCATTGGTCTGTCTAAATTAGAGGGGTCAATAGAATTCATAATTTCGATTCTTTATATTCGCTTTCTGCATGGGCTCACAGCTAAACTGTACTTACTGACGTCTTTAGAGTGCATTAACCGTTGCACATATTTTTTCCATGTGAGCTTCGGAACTTGATTCATCAACTTGTCCGTTGTTATAAAGTTAATATTCTTTAGATGCTAGTATTTTGATTTCGACATTATTTGAAATTATTTAACCTGTAGTGCTTTTCATTTGACTTGTTTTCAATTCTTTCAGGTTAGTACTGATGCGAAGGACCTCGTTAAGGGTGTAGTCGATTTGAAAATTACAAACGACATTAATACACAGAAAGCGAGAGCCTCACAACCAATTGGGTCTACTCCTAAGTCTAATCCTTCAAAACCCACAATCATTACAAGCGATGTTGAACAACTAGCTAAATCTAAAGAAGAAATCTTAGCTGAAAGGAAAGCGAAAGCTGCAGAAGCAAAAGCTAAGAAAGGTTCAGTTGTTTTTATCGCTTTCGTCTTTTCACTTTTTGAATTTGCTTCTTCGAAAGGTGGATCTTTGACTTGTTAATGTGAGAGAAGGTTTTGAACTGGGGAAAAGCGATCATCAGCGATTTTTGGAACTGAGTCTTGTATGTACTGGTGATAGCGTTTTTCTTAAATTATCACTCGTTAAACATTAGTTGGTGGTCGACACCAGTCAATTTCTGTTTTATCAGAAATCGAAAAGCGTTATACTGAAAGATAATTTCAGCTGCTGCAGCAGCTGCGAAAAAGGTTACAAAAGGTGGTGAAGGAGCTACAACACCAAAGGCCACCAAATCTAAAGATGCGAAACAAAAAGACTCTAGCGCATCGCTGAATACATCAAGTACTTCAAATGGTCATCCAACTAACGGTACTGAAGCTATTAAATCAGCGTTTAGTTCTGGTATATCATCTTCTCGTCCGTCGCAACCTTTCAGACGCGTCCATTTCGGTAACTTTCTGTTTTCATCGTTTGATGCTGCAACTTTCACATTCAAATGACAAGACGTGAAAACATTAAAAATTTGATACGTTGTTTATTTGGAAATGTTCTGATGTGGAATGAATCGCTAGAGTTTTTGAGTAGATCAGTGAGTACAAGTGAAATACGTTGCGTTCAGAGTAAACAAGAAATCGTAATTTGATTGCATTTTGTACGGAATTCTTAGATATGACTCCATCAGAAGGTGCAAGTGCAGTCGGTCGTCGAAGGCAACCTTCATTCACGGATGTTTCGCCAGTCAACGTTCATCCTGCGTTTTTAAACTTCGCCGCTAGGTTTTCATTTATTTTATTGTTTCTTCTTTGATCCATTTTTGTTTTAAAAAATGAATTAAATAATTGTCTGATAAATCTTTACGGATGTTTTATTCCCTATAGCCGAATACAGCAAAGAGAACTGAAAATTTGAAGCGCGTTGAATTATTATATGTTATCTCTTTTTGAGATGGATTTGGTGGAGCACGCTAATTCTCAATTACAGTAGTGCATTTTGTTCAGGTGCGAGGCCAAAGAAGTGACTGGAATTGACGCAATTTGTGTTGAATTTATTTGTGCCTTCAAGCAGGTTCGTCTTTTCACGGCTCATTCATCGATTCCAAATTATCTTGTTTGTTCATTTTTGTATTGTGGGAATCTGTTTTTGTTATTTGATGCCGATTGCAAAAATTAATAAATTTAATCTATCCTGCGAATTGTTTTTACTCCGCTTATCTTGAAAAAAATTAGAAGTACTGAAAGATTTTGGCAAGGTTTTCTTGTTTCATTTCGTCGCCATTCTCAGTTTCATTCTAACAATAAGCATGCTTTACGGCCGATTGCTTATGGATCCTTACAAAGGATGAACAACAGTTGTATTGGTTGAGAGTGAATTGGGTTTATGTTTTCAGTAGGATTTAAGTTAATGCTCACACTAATTGTTTTATTTCAGTTTCTAAACGAATATAATATGAGTGAAAATCGAAAGATGTCTCACGATCTCGATCAAGCCATTCGTCCACATTTCAGGTGACATTATTCGTGTGGTTTTGTATGTGCAGCAGTCAGTGTTTGCAGTCATTTAACACCTGTTTATCTGTTAATGCTGTTGTTGAGATAATCACTTGTTTGGATATTAATTTAACGAAAACCTATGATCCGTGTTTCAGTTATATGACACAAAATGGCACTCAACCGTTCCCGTTCGCGTTAGGAAATTTGATACGACAGTTGAAGAAAGAGATCAATCAGCTTCCAGATGGAATATCTGAACTTGATGTAAATTATTGGAGCTTTTGCAATTATTGTTTTTTGAGTATCCTTCCACTTTGTATAGAAAAATTTCCGATTCAGTCGTTGAACAAAATGCCAAAATATTCGGAACGAGCGATTTTTAAAAAGTTTATTTATCATTCGTTCAGTCAGTGCGATCATTCAATTGTTGAGTGATTGCTAAATACTAACGATGCTTATGGTGAAGTGTTTTTAAGGGCAAAAATAGGCTGCTTGAATGGCTGGATGATTTTTGCTCGCAGAATTTCGATTTGGCTCTGCGAGCGATCTCATCGTTTTGCCTGAGCAAGATGCAAAGCACACATTATATTCTTACATATTCATGGTTTATTAATTTTTTTAAAATTTCCTTTCTTCTTTTACTTTTGTTTTATCACTAAATTTTTTTGTAATGCTCTTGAAAAATTGAGCCAAAGAAAAAGATTTATCGTAGTAAATATACATGAGGCAGTTTTTTGGAAATCAAATCTACAGGGATGAAAAAAAAATTCTTCAGTTTTATTACTGTCATCAGCTGTCTATGAGTGAGTGGTAAGAGCCGAGAATTAATTTAAGGTGCCCTATCGTTGAACGTGTTCTTCTTGATGCCTATGACCAAAATATGAATCTTCATGTTTGTATTCTCGACTCTCCTGTTGAACCAAAAGGTGAAAATATGAAATGTGCTCACTGAAATTTTTTTCATTTGATTAATTCATGTTATTTAGAAACATTTACATTATTATGTTACTTTCGGTTTATTTTCAGTATTCGTCAATATTTTGATAATTTTCTTAACCTTGATTACACATCTGTCATTTCATAAAATATCCCCTCAAAAATTTGGTCGTCGATTACCAGTTCCACGAATTATCTAATTATCGTGGTTAATAGGTCGTCGTCTGACTAAGACGTTGTCTTCACGTAATATTGAATGCACGTACGGAATGCTCAGCGCAATTGGTTACGTCATGAAGCAGGTTGGTTATGCGCTGGTATATTGGTGTGGATTTACTTTTGGGAGAATACATTGTGTTAATAAGGGGGATGTTGTTTGAAAATGCATTCGATTAAGTTTAGTTGGTTTGTTGTTGCAGTGTCATATGGTACTGTTGGGCTGTTCAGCAATTCTGTCGAATGGTTATGTGGTTGCCGAACGAGGTGCTGCCCAAGTGGCTTTAGTTGCTGCGGCTGCCAATGTTCCAGTTCTAGTGGTCGCACAGACGCTTAAATTCGTCGATCGTGTTCGTTTGATTTGTTTTTATTTTCCCCTAGTCATCAACCTTGCGTGACAGTTTTTTATTCGTACAAACTTTTAAATGACAGAAACTATTCAACTCTTCTCTTACCTGGATTGGCCAGGCTATCAAACGTTTTTAACGTTGTTGGCCACATTACTCGCGTTTAACCAACGTTCCAACTCTCCTCTAAACTTTTACAATACGTAATGTATTGTATGAGATTCTGAGCGTTAGATGCTCCGTAACGATCGGTCTTCGACAGTTGTGAGTGAAATTTTCAGATAGTTCCACAGCAAACCGAAACGTCTGCATCTGCAGTATTTCCCAATTTCAAGAAAAAAAATTCGCAAACGTTAACGAAAATGAGAGTATTATTTGATCGTTCAGGTTCAAACGTTTGATCGCAGTAATCGTGAAGTAAGTGCGCTGGTTGGTGAACGGCAAGAGAGCATCCCATCGGATTTAATAACAGCAATTGTCACTGAGCTACGTATTGTACCACCAAGCTCAGCACCAGCTGTGTTGAAGGCTAAACAACTCGCTGTTGGATAATTTCACATTTATTGGCTTTTAATTGTTGTATTCAATTAATTGTTGGGTTATGCCGATCGTATCATCGATATATGTGTGTTGATGTATACACTACTCATTCGCTTGTATCTGATGATGGCCGTTTCCTAATCTGAAAACTGTACAGTGACTAGATTCATCATTTCCTAATCTGATTTGTCTTCCTCCCATTCAAATGACCTCTTTAGCTGATCGAAGCTATTCGTATCATTTCATTTTAAAACTTCTGTTAGGTTAAAAAATTTATAAATTTCTAAGCAGCTTAATACGGTTGTGGCTAGTGTTTATTGGAAATGCGATGCGCATGAAAATTATTCAAGTTTAGTGAAAACACAACAGTATACCCTTTATTTTGGTCGATTTTCAGGTTATTGTTTTTTCCCATCTATATGGTTTTCAAATTGGTGCATTATTGAGTGAAAAATTTTGATTTCACTGCCATTTTTGTTCTTATATGACCATTGTGATAATTCATTATCATTTCTGCACTTTTTGATTTTTTCTTCGATCAATCGATTGCAATCACGGAATCAATTTTTCTAGTGTAACATTTTGCCGCATATGTGACCACAAATTTATCGTCTGATGTCAGTCCCTTTTTCTCATACGAAAGGTTTGAATTATCAAAAAATGGTATGATTTCGAATGGCAAAAAATGTCGAAATGAAATGTATTTATTCGACTGAAAGAATGTCAACAGATTGATCTCGTAATTGCTGCTAAAATACCATCAATAAGGTCATTTTTGATGCGATTATGAAATTATCTCTTATAGAGATGATGCCAAGTAGCACCGTCTAGTGTAGTATTATCACTAGTTTCAACGGTAATGTCTATTGCTTGTGAACGATTCATTCATTGCTTTGTTTTCGGTTAATGAAACTTATTCTTAATTTTAGTCGAAAATTAACGTTGATGTTCGTTCTTCCACGATGCGAGCATGGATGTTTGTTGTCTTGTTTGTTTTGATGATTTAAAATAAACATTCTACTGTAGTAACTTCAAGGTCGCAAGGAGATTTTATTAGTGAGGTTTTCGTAACAATAAACCACATCATGGGATATATATTAACCTGTATTACAAACATAACGAAAAATCACATCAAAGCGGATTGCAAGATATGAACTGGTTCACCAGTCACTGGAAAATCCCATGCGGATATGCTTTTCAGATTTTCCACATCTGCCCGCCGCAATGTAATAGGCCAGGAGGTATAAATGCGCCTCTGTTTGAATTCCAAAATCCGGTAGTGATACGTCCCAACCGTAATAAAAAAGCCTTCAGTAAACCCTTTCGTCTATTTTTGCTGTTCACCTCTTGTGGCACTTAACTTCCATTATTCATTACTCTAGTACGATCTTCCTCATTCGTTTAGTACACTGTGATCGCCCATAACGATCGCTATATGTATTGAATTCGGTCGGAACTTTTATCGAATTTCGCATCAGGTCGAAATCTTTAATGTAATTTTTCCTATCCCCAGGATTTCGAATAATTTCGTTCTCGAAATTGTAATTTCACGCCTTAGAGCAAAATTTCGTGATAGAACAAAACTTTGGCGGAGTTAAGTACCACGAAATAAATATCTCAAAATGGTGAAAGTGGATGGCCAATTTTTTCCCCGTATTTTTATTCACGAAGCTAATTCAATACAAGATGTACGTAATTTAAATCTGGTTATAAGCCAGTTAAACAAACTGAGAGTAAGTTTGACCGTACACAACTGATCGACTCTGGGTTCATAATTCCGAGTGAGCTATTTATATGCATATCTATATTCTATGTTTTTCGAATCCTCCCCACTAACTCTGGGGAACTATAATTGGAATAAATCTCTACGGGATGTTTTTGTGCTTATCGCTGATATCGATTTTAGCAAAGAGTCAATCTTTTAATATCAAGAAGTAAACACAAACAAGCATGAGACCGCATAAGACATAAGAGACAATGTACGGAACGTAGTCATTTAAAACTTTCAACATGCAACATGGTGAGCATTTACAGAACAATCAATGCTCCAAGAAAACGAGTTGACATGAAGCAGAAAACTGGTGATGAAAACTATTTGAATGAGATGTATCTTCTTCGAGAGTGATGTATCTCCTTTCTTTTCAAAGATTAAGCATGATGGTGTTCACGAAGCACAACACTCTGTAATAATCGCGCAGTAAAGCTCCATTAATTCATCTCCGAGGTGCACATATCTGCGCAATTCTCAAATGAACTTTTCACTTCTGGTCAAACATAATCTAAATTGATTCCTAGATCAGTCATCCATTTGTATGCTTATATTTTCATTTTCATTAGAAGTATTGGTGATAAGCGTAAATGTTCAAGCAAGTGACACGTCTACAAGTGAAAATATTTCTGGAAGAACATTTCGCCGAAATTTTACAAATGAAATCTAAGTGGCATGCCCGTGATGAGGAGTTAAGTTTGATGAGTACGTGCGACAGAATGCTATAACATCTCCGTATTGATATCGTCATCTTGATTCTCGTCAACAATACTGTTGGATTCAATTTCTGCTTTTGATGATTCGTGGTCGTTCGCTAATGCATCAGTTTTTGATAGTTCGGAAGCATCTATTGATTCATCAACATTTGTCAACGATGTTGAAGCACCCGTCTCACCACCCAACTTCTCTCGTTCAGCTTTACGTTTTTTTGCATCATCCAATTTTTGTTGTTTATTACTTTTCCATAATTCCACTGCCTCTTTGATCTGCAACTAAGAGTTAGTGTGACAAATAAACATTTGAGTGAAATTGGCACGGAGACGATGGAGCTCACCTAAAAACTGTCGCTTCCTGCAGGGGCGAATTATTACGGAAAAAGAGTTATGACCAATTACTTACTCATCCTCATGACCATTTTAAGATAAAATTCCTCCCTTTCCATTCAGCGTCAATTTCAATGCAGAGTAAAACGCACTACAGTAAACAAGAAAAATAAGAAAGATATATTCTGGAAACAAAATGAGCTGAAATTTTTATAAACCATGCCACTTTTTGAGGAAACAAGCGAGCCTCAACGAACTATACAATCATGAATTACAGGTCACTGATGTCTTCAATATCAGTAGTAAAATTACGTACCGGTTTGATAAGATCATCACACTCTAACGTTTTCATAGCACTCAACACATCTGCTGCAGTAACCGTTTTACGCTTGTTTGCAACGGCGCAATCTTGGGCATATGTTGATGCATGCAGTATAAATACTGATGCAGCTCTTGCAATTGCTGTCCGAGCTTCCTTCAAATCATTTTCAAATTCTGATTCTCGTTCGAGAAATTTTACCGTTACTTAATGATGCATCTTGAAATACTGCCATTATATTGTGAAAAGCGATCTGTCGCTGTTTGGTACGTTTAATAGAGAGAGGCATATTTCGAACGCATTCAACATAAATTCTTGCCGAGAGTGCCACCACCAGTAAGCAATACGTTATCGAGTGAAAGAAAACGCTTTTGTTTCGTGAAGCAAGACAAGAATACCTTCGAAACAATAATTCCTGGAGGTAGTGCATCTTTGACGAGTCGAGAGATAACCGTTTGAGGCAAACGCAACTCTTCGATAGCATCCGATGATGATGACATCTGAAGGGGTGTATTCATCAAAAAATCATCATGACACAAGTTTTCAAAGACAAACGAACCAATTCGGCAAGGAAACTCTCGAGTTGAAAAACGAAAGGATAGCGCAAATATTTACACATTGATAATAGCATATTGGATGAAGAACACTTGATTATATCTTCATAAATCTGCTGGCTCCTACAGATATTTCAGACCGTTTTCGGACAGTCAA